TGCGGGCTGGACACAGGCAGTGCGCCCAGAGCTCGCGGCATCCTGTGACCCAGGGTGAACCTGGCTTCTGCCCGCTCCGCCTGGGCCTGCAGGGGCCTCCCCCAGGTTCAGTGCGCCTGGCTGGTAACACCTCCCGAGCTGCTTGGCCATGTCCCCCCACCCCCGGACCTCTGGCCAGAACCTCAATCCCACCAACCACGTGGGAGACAGACAGCACTGGGACTGATGGAGGAGGAGGAAGAGGAGGAGGAGGAGAGTGAGGGAAAGAACAGGCGGGGCCGGGAGCAGCCGGCAGCTATGATCAAGTTCCCGCTGTGCAGGACTCCGTGCGCGGGGACCGCAGACAGTGACCGCCCCCCTGGCTCCCATTCCCTCCGAGAAATGGAAGCACCTGGCACACTGGACACACTCCCTGAAATAAATGTGGTTCCTTTTCCTTCAAAACATACACCGTCAGCGCGTCACAATTCCAAATGCGATGGCTTCTGGCACGCCCTTTACCTCACGTGGGGACCGCTGTCCCTGGGGCCTGGCAGACGGAGGTCAGGGGGCAGGGGGGCCTCCGCGTCTCCCTGGTGAGGAGCCCAGAGCCACTCTGCCGGAGCCCCAGGGCACCGCCCCGACCAAGCTCCAGACGCTGCGAGATGCCCACGGCTCCGGGCTCTGCCAGGGCAGCCTGCAGCGCACTTGCAGCGGGACAGGAGAGCCCCGCTGATGCATCTGCATGATTCCTACAGCTTTTCCGTGGGGCTCGGCTCGTCTGTCCCTCTCACCGCCCCGCACAGGAGGAAGCGGCGTCAGCAAGATGGAGAGGAGGGGACAGAGGACGCGGCCGAGGGGAGGCCTCACACGCCTCCCGTGTCTGCCAGGCGCGGCCAGGGGAGCAGAGCGAGGGGCAGGGCACACGGGAGGACCGGGCTTCCGGCCTTGACTGCGCTGTACAGGACGGACTTCCTGACAGCCCTTTGGGAAGGGGAGAGGGGGCGGGGTGGGCCTTGAGCTCGTCACTGAGTCTTACAGAACCTGTGTTCTCAGCGGCAGGAGGCCAGCAGAGAAGGCCGCGTGCCCTGCCACGCCAGGTGCCATTCATTGCAGATAACCTGCGGCTTTGGTTTCTTGGTTAATTCGGAGGGTATTTTTTCATTGATTTTTAAACAGAGTGGAAGGGAGGGAGGAAGAGAGAGACAGAGAAACACTGATGTGAGAGAGACTCATTGATTGTTGCCTCCCATACGTGCCTCGACTGGGGGTCAAACCTGCAACCCAGGTTCGTGACTGTGACCGGGAATTGAACCCATGACCCTTCAGTATGTGGGCTGACGTTCCCACCACTGAACCACATGGGCTGGGCCCAGCAGTTTTTTTTTTTTTTTAAGGAGGAAAATCTTAAAGAACATGGGGTGTGATGTAAGGCTCAGAGGGCTTTGGAGTGAATTTTACACACCACTTTGCTCTGAGTTTGTAGATGGCTCTGTCAGGCAAAATTCTGCATCACAACTAAGCTTAACTAAAAAAGCAAGAAGACCAAAACGCAGTCAGATAAAAGTAAACCAAGTGTCTGTTCCAGCCTGAGCAGGCTCCGCGCCAAGCCCTGGGCTCTCGCTCGCCCAGTCCCGCTGCAGGGGCGCTTCTCAGGGCTCAGAGAGACTGGGGCGCCACCTGGGGAGACGCGCCAGCAGCGATGAGCTACCTTCAAATCCTGCTGCGAGATCCAGGTAATTCATCCCTTCTTTCTTATATCCGATGGTTGCAGTCAGCTGCAGTCAGCTGAGCGTACTGGTCATCATCCATGGGCATCCCGTTATTTTCCAGCACCTGGCAGGGAGACGGTGAGGGGAGGCGGTTATGTGATCTGGGTCCCGGCCGAGCCTGCAGCCCCGCAGCCCCGTGCTCCAGCCTGCAATCAGTACTGGTCTGCCCCACCACAGGCTCCTGCAGGCAGGCCCAGTGCCCTGGGTCCCTGGCCCTGTACAAGGTTTGTTTGTTGTGCCAGTGAGTGAACAAGGGAGCCAGCGGGCGCCCAGCCTGGGGCTCTGTCTGCAGGGCGTTCGGGCTGTAGCAGCACCGCAGACCTTCTCGGGCCGGGCCATCCGAGTCACTGAGATCCACACGTGCTGGGACTGCAATGGCTTTCGAGTCTCTTAAGTTAGATTTATAGTCACATGTATCCTGGGAAACACGGACAAAATAAAGCAAGGCAGCTTGTGGAGGGAACACTAAAATTTTGATGAAAGTTTCATTCTGACGGACAGTTTACACGGCAAGCCTTGTGTCTGTGGCACCCACGGCACTTCCTTTCTCTCCTGAGACACGCCACTCACTGAACGTTACCCAGGATCCTTCACTCACCACACGCACCGACTGCTCACCGTTTCCATCCTGTGTGCATGTCTGTGTGTGTGTGTGGGGGGCAATTACCTAGACGACACTGTCCCAGGAGATGGGATGGGCTGTTCAAGGGACAGATGCTGACGTCACCCTTTTGTCAATGGCCAGTCAACTCTCTGCCTGGAGGTGAGACCCCAGAAATGATGCTGGGAGGAGACAGGCGGGACAGAAGGCACCATCCCTGCTGCTCTCCAAGTATTTGCAATTTAAATGAGAAAACACGGCTTTTCTTCTAGGAAAAGAACATAGAGTCGCATGAGCCCCACCCCCATCCCATGCCAGGGCATATGAAGGAAGGCTGTCTGGGAGAGCCGCGTCTGGAGATGGGTTTTGAAGAAAGTGTGTGTTGGAGGCCTGGGGACACGCAGATCAGCTGATAACAAATGTCAGGGGTCTGACGGCACAGGAAGCCAGAGGAAGCCAGAGAGCAGAGGCATAGCAGGATCAGCACTACACTGACTGCGTTCAGGGAGAAAGCTACCCGGGGAGAGGAAACAGGAGGATGAAGTGAGATAGGACACTTG